ATAGCATTAAGATAAAGTAAGAGTGTTAGGAAAAATTGAAGGAAAAACTACAGAGATATGTTATTCTAGTATCTTAGTATCGGCACTAGTTTCTTCTTTAACATGATGTAACAATATGTGACTCCTGAGCAGTTGTTTTTGGTGTGTATTTTTTTTTTACTTAATACCACATTTACAGGATTTCCCTGTTTCTTCCCACCTGATTATCAGCATGCCATCTCACTAGAATCTAGGAAGGAGCTAATGTATACTGAAACCAAATTTGATGCTTAGAAAATCCTTGAGCTGTTGAAAGGCACACCTGTGCTGTTTGGCAGGTGAATTGAATCTCAAGTAGGAATTTCTGCAAATCTCTTGTTCAGTCGGCTAAACGGGTTTACACTTGTACTGAACAGGGTGGGATGAAGGGGGGGAGGGATCCTCTACTTATCCTTACTAATAACCATGATAATGCCAAAGAAATAACTTCCAGCGCTTATCTTAGCGGCTTAGGTCTCAAAAGTAGAAAAGTCCGTATCTTCCACGTCTTTAAATTTTTCAGTTTAACATTATTAAGCTATAGACAGATTTGTAGTTTTCACATTGGAAAGCACTAAATTATTATTAAGATGGCATTTTATTTCATTTGGGGAGAGCAACTTTTTTTGCTATGTTCATTTTTTATTTTTCAAATAAGAATCGTTTGTTAGGAGTTGTTATATAAAAATTTCACTGAACTGAATACTAAAGAAAATAAGGAAGCATTTATCAGTTGGAAGGTGCAGCTCTGTAAATCAGTTTGCAGATTAACTGCAAAGGTTATTTTGGACTCTATAATCTTAAAGTGAAGTATGACATTTATCCATTACTTTAAAAAAATCTTCTCTGCTTAATTCATTTTCTTTTTCTGGGCATTGTTATGCCAAATTATGTGGTATTCTCTAATATTCTTAGATTTCTTCTGACTAAACTGGTTTGAAAAATTGCAGTCTGAAATAAATGCTCGATGCATTCCATAGTATTCTTCAGGTATTAATGAGAGTTAATATTTTCCATTCTTTAATGAAGCACATGCAGGCTGTATAATGCAACTCTTTTCAGCAAATATGAAGCACATTCCAGAGAAGACAAAAAAAAAAAAAGCATTTAGAGTTGATGAACTTCATAGAAAGAAAAGGTCCAAAGGCGAATGTAAAAGAAAGAGTAATCAAATCCACAGGCATGATGACCCTTGTCTGTTTTCTCTGGCACTGCCATTTAGATCTTAATTTCTGTGCCATTTGTGGTATTTGCAACCTCTTTTAAGTTGAAATTGTGTATTACAATCTTAGGAGTCTACGAATATCTCTTTGGGAGGAAAGGTTTAACTCATTAAATAATACACACCATCTGCTAAACTAAATGAACTGTTTATACACATGTACATGAATCTCAACTGGTTAGAACTTTGGTTCCCAATCTGGCTGCATATTACAAATTTTAGATATACCACTTATCAGGGCCTACCCCAGAGACGATGATTTATTTGATCTGGGCATGCACTGAGTTGGGGTGGGGTGGTGACAATGCTTTCTTGAAGTTCTACATTGCAACTCAGAATTTGTTTCCTCAAGAAATTATACTACAGTTTGTTGTTGTTGTTAAGCACTGTCAAGTTGGTTTCAACTCATAGCGGCCCTGTATAGAGTTTCTGAGGAGCGGCTGGTGAGTTTGAACTGTCAACCTTGCAGTTCAAACTGACCTTATGGTGGAGTGCTTATCCTACAGTGCCACACCAGGACACCATACTACAATAAAGACCAGGACTTATGGATTTTTTAAGTATAGTAGTTAACTGGTTATATTATATGTTAAACTTTATGTGGCTAGTCTCAAACACCAAACCATTCTTCAAATTTATTTTCTAAAACAAAAAGTGCCTTTGGCACCAAACAATAGAATTAATAACTGACCGGTTAACAAATTTACAACTACTTGAATCCTGAGAGTCACAATTCACCTTTTGTGAATATCAAAATTAAATTGGCGTGTCGTCTTGTGAAAACAAATAAATTCTCAATGAATGTACTGAGTACCTTTCAGAAGCGAGCCGCGAGCAATACAAAGAAACTGAACAAAGGCAGAAATAAAAGCGCAAAAGCACAACACCAAAATTTGTTCAAACTCTAGAGGGAATGTTATGATTAATGGCTTTCTGTGTTTTCTGAACAGTATGTAGGACCAGAAATCAGCAAATCATTCCGAAAGGAATATCGCCTAGAAATGATCATGGAAATATGCTGGGGGGCAAGAAACTAGACAATACAAGCAGTTTTAAAAAGCAAATCTCTCAAAGAATAGAGGACATTTTGTATAGGAGAAGATGAAAAAGAAAAGGTTAGACATAGCTTCCACAACGTTGCTTTTAGGTTTGACCCACCAGTGAACAACAAGACAGAACACACCAGGACAAGTTGGGACCAAGAGCAGACCTAGAATATCACGTCACAATGTCAGCATCCCACAAGGCAACCCATCTGCCACTCAAGGCCATGAGATGACCAAGCACACCAGATACATCTCCTAAGGGTCAATCCACAGCCAGAGGGTAGGACTTCGCTGTGGGTCTCAGAGCACTGAAGGATATACATTGGGGTGGAAGTTTAAGGGAGACAGAGTCAGACTCAGTATACATACAGACTTTCTAATAGGGCTGCCAAAGAAACCAACCAGATACCTTGCCATATGGAGTCTTGGTGTGGCACTGTGGGTTAATGCGCCAGACTGCAAAGCCATTTGAACTGCAAGGTCGGCAGTTCAAGCTTACCAGCTGCTCCTCAGAAACCCTATACAGGGTCGCTATGGGTCGGAACCAACTCGACAGCACTTCACAACAACAACAACCTTGCCATATGCTGAACCTCTAACCCTGAAGCGTAGAGTGTGGGCTGCATATAATCGCTGGTGGTGGTAATGGTGTGCCATAGAGTCAGTTCCGACTCAGCAACCCCGCACAGGGTTGCCGAGGCTGTAAATCTTTATGGGAGCAGAAAGCCTCAGCTTTCTCCCATGGAATAGCTGGTAGTTTTGACCTGCTGACCTTGAGCTTAGCAGCCCAATTCGTAACCACTATGCTAGATACAGACAAGATCTCTGCATTGAACATGAATCTTGTTTTAAGGATCTCTGATGGGCCTTTCAAATGTAAGCTTTTATGAGTCTTTAGCCCAATCTCTTCTTTTCTCCATTAAAAAGAAAAAGGAAAAAAAAAAACACCTGTTGCCATCCAGTGGATCCTGCCTCACAGAAACCCCAATTTTTCGGAGCACTGTCTGTGCTCCTTCAGAAGTAGATGACCAGGTCTTTCTTCCCAGGTGCAATTGAATGGATTCAGTACCCTTCAGTTGGTTGCTGTTGTCAAGTGCCATCGAGTTGGTTCTGACTCATAGCGACCTTGTATAGGGTTTCCGAGGAGTTTAAACTGCCAATTTTGCAGCTCAAACCGACCTTGCAGTCGAGTGCTTATCCTACAGCACCAGCTGAGTGCAAACCGGTTTGCATCACCCAGGCACGTTCTCTTGTTCACCCAACCCAAATCCATCACCTTGGGACAGAGTACAATTATCCCATAGGGATTTCAAGGCTGTAAAGCTTTATGGACATGAACTGCTACATCTTTCCCCCTTAACCACAGACCCTTTGGTTAGCATCTAAGTGCATACCCACTGGCCCACCAGGACTCCTTCAAAGTCACCTCTAATTTCATTCTGCACTCATCTGGTTTAAAAAAACAAAACAAAACAACGACAAAGAGGATTTTAAAAATTCTTCACAATGCACTAAAGTATCTACATAAAGATCATGAAACAAAGGGTTTTGTATTAAAAGACTGATTTATTGGTTTTAGATCTTTGGTTACTTTTGGCAAGAAGTGACTCCTGAAATCTCATACAAAGAAGTGAAAGAACTTAAGTGGATAGATTAAAAACCCCATAATAAAGCCAGTGTTTTTGCTCTCTCATAAATGTCCAGATTTGTGACCTTAGGGGCCGGAAGTGCACCTGATTTTTTATGTTTTATCTTCAGACAGGAATGAACGAATGAATGAGTTATTTCTTTAATTAGGCACGAAACGCAGAGGTGGTTAAAAGTAAAACAAGATAGAAAAATTCCCAGTGTAACTTCAAAAAATAGACTGGAGCTCCGAAGAGCAGGAAAAACGTCTTAAATTCAAGCCCAGTGCACAGGACATTCGTGTAAGCATGCCAGCATTACGCCTCAAATATTCAAGTTCAAAATTGTAAAGGTTCTGATAGAGCCTCCCTCCCCATATGCTGCTGAGTTTAGGTCTTCATCAAGCACCACTTTACCTTCCGCACGCACACCAGGCCAAAAAGAACCGCAGAGCTTTGAGGGCAAGGCCGGTTGAATCCCAAACCTGCATAGTGATCCCTCCTTGACAAGTCAAACAGGGTCACCAAAACAAGCATGGCACAAAACCCTTTTAGAGTTCAGCCCCAAGAACTGCATTACCAGACCGTGTCCTTTTAGGGCACACAAACAGCTTTTTCTGTTCTGCCTTCACAAGATACTCTGGGAGCTAAAATATTTGCGATGAGTAGGACTGGCAAAGATGTGGGGGTTAAGACCTGGGGTGGGGGGTGGGGGTCAGCAAGTTGTCCACATCCGACTGTCAGTCGGCCCCTGAGCCGTGCGGCTCGAATAAGAAAGCCATTCTCCGCGGTCACTCGGTCCGGGAGATGCGGGGGCGTGGGGCAAAAGGGAGCGCGGACCAGCCTTTTTTTTTTGACTGCGGGCGTGGAGCCAGTTCACGGGCAGGCGGTCTGGGAAGCGCCCCTAGCCCTCCCTTCCCACGGGGCATCGCGCGCGCCCCCTAGCGCCGGGTCTTCGACAGAGGCGGCGGGGCGGGCGGAGGGCGGGGGTAGCGACAGGCCGGGAGGCGGAGCCGCGGGGCTGGGTACTCCTGGCCGGGCGCGTCGGGGGTCGCAGCGCCGAGTGGGTGCCGGAGCGCGGCTGCAGCCGGCGGCATGGCGAGCACGGCCTCGGAGATCATCGCCTTTATGGTCTCCGTCTCTGGCTGGGTGTTGGTGTCCTCCACGCTGCCCACCGACTACTGGAAGGTTTCCACCATCGACGGCACCGTCATCACCACCGCCACCTATTGGGCCAACCTGTGGAAGACTTGCGTTACCGACTCTACGGGCGTCTCCAATTGCAAGGACTTCCCTTCCATGCTGGCGCTGGACGGTCTGCATCCCCCCGCCCCGGGACCCTGGCCCTCGCACCTCCCTGACCAGCCCACAGGGGTGCCCTCTCAGCCTGAGGGCATGGGACTGGGGAGGCCCCGGCGCCTCCCTCGACCCCACAGCCCCCGGCGGGATCCCTGGCTGGACTCCGAGGTTCGGGCCCTGAGCTCCTCTTAGGGCCCGAGGGAGTTGGAGAGAGTCTCCGTGCCCGCCAATCGCCGTCCCCGACAGCTATCCCTCAGGGGATCCTGTCTGAACCTTTTACCCTGGGAAAGGAGACAAGCAGTTAGCACCGGGTGGGATGGAGAGCCGCCTTGCTGTTCTGAGAGTCAAGGTCACGGCTGTACGACCCCCACTCCTGAGGACTGCGCGGGCCACAAACCCACCAGACTCGCAGTTCACGCAGCGGGATGTTGTCCCTTTCCGCAGAAGAGCTTAGTTCATATTAATTCGGTGCCATACAAAGCCAGATGTGCTTGCCTTTAACACCCTTTAGTCGTTTTGTTGGTCTTTTCAAAGTAGCCAGGGGAAAAAGAATTGTCGTGCCTTCTGAACTCCCCCCACCCACCCTCTTCATTACTTGCAAACGTTTCTACAAATTTGTCTGGCCAAGCTGTAATACTTTCCCAACTTTTAGCAAGACAAACGCCCCTTGAAATCTATCTTGCTTACGGAGCTGATGAAGTCTCAATTGGTAAATCTTGGCAAGCACTGATCTTGCGCCTGTGACTGCTCTCCGAGCGAGACTTCCTCGTGTTCTTTTGTAGATGTTGAGCTACATTGTTAGTGTCAACCGAGCTTTATATTGTTTTGCCTAATAACACCAGGTTATTGTACAAAACAATATAAAAAGAAACAGACTCTGTTTCGTTTCAAGAGAGTAGATGGCATTTTGGTCACAATGATTGCTCAAATTATATCTAGTCTTTCTTCTGGATTTTACCGCAGACAACTAGACATCTGCCCCCACCCCCACCCCCCCCAAGACACTTCAGTGGAATCCTTTTAATTGTTTTTAAGTTTGAGGTGTTCTCTTTTCCTTTGATGTGTTTATTTACCTAGCAGGGTAAATAAAAGACACAGATCTGAAACCTCAAAGATGGCAGTTAGCATGAAAAGCAAACTGTTGCTCAATGTGATATTTGATGGGGTCTCAGAATAAGGGAAGATCGTGTCTGATGTTAGAAAGTTGACACCCGCTTTGGTTTGCCTGCGATTATGTCAAATAAGCTGCCAGAACACTGTTTATTCCCTCAAACTACTGTTGGATTTCCTGGGTGCCACGGAGAGCACATCCAGGCAAATGCTGAGAACAGGCCGACTCTTGTTTCTGTGGTTTACGTTCAGGAGTATGTAATTGACAGTAAGTGTCCTAGAGCCGTCTTAGGTTGTAACTGTATTGTTATCTGAGACAGTGAGCCAGGTAGGTACACCTCCTTCTATAGGACAGTTGGGGAACAAAGGAAAAGAGAGAGAGAGAGATGCCTTTATGCTTTTGAAGTGAGAATGGTTAGTTGTGTATTCTGATTATTAGGCAGGTTGGGCATTGAGAAGGAAGCAGGACGTATTCTTCAGTGATCTGATTTTAAATTTAGTTTGGAGTGGGACAAAGAGGAGTCACATTTCTATGCCCCAACCTGAAAAATTGTCTTCCTGTGTGTTCATGAGTCCAGGAAATGCTATAAAAATATGATAGCACCCAATGTTTTAAAGTCAACAACTTATCTCTCCAAGCTAGCACATATAGAACTAACTCTTTTTACTAGTTACATAATGTTCATTAGTCTGGGAAAACGGGTTCATTGAACCATTTACCCATTGTTAGACGTTGAACCCTTTCCAACTCTTCATTATTATTAGCACTATACTGAAAATTCTTACATTCACTTCTTTGTGCATATGTGTATTTCTGCAGAGCTGGTACCAAGCAGTGGGATTGTCAAGGCAGTAACACAGACATTTAATTTTTAACCTATACTGCCAAATAACACTCCACCAATAGTTTATTGTTGTTGTTGTTAAGAACCGTCGATTCGGTTCCAACCCATAGCCACCCTGTATAGGGTTTCCGAGGAACTGCTGGTGAGCTTGAACCACCGACCTTGTGGTTCAAACTGACTTTGCAGTCCAGCACATTAACCCACGACGCCACGTTTTCCCACATTGTCACCAATAAGTTTTTTTCACCCAATATGATGGCATTTCCCTAATTATTTATGATCGTATGCATCTTATCATATATTAATTGACCTTTTTTTTTTCTCCTTTGTGAATTGCTTGTTCCCATCCTATACCCATGATTCTTTTGTGCTGATTGGTTTAAACGATTTTAGTTTTTAAAATTCTGGATATCAATCCTTGGTTTGTTATGTATATTGAGGTCTCAGGCCATTGCCTTTCTTTTAACTTTATGGTGCCTTTTTCCATACAAACTTTAAGGTGTCTAACATAATTAATTAGCGTCTTCCTTGATGACTTTGCCTTTTGTGACTTACAAACACATTCCATTTCCCACTGTGATAAGCTTATTTTATTTTATTTTTGTGTCTCTCAGAATAACATCTTTGAGAGCTAAAGCACAAAGCTACAATTTCATATGCCCACTGACAAGTGGGACTTCCCTGAACAGGGTCCTTCTGCATGTTAGTTGTCTGTGTGTATTTCCAGGGCAGCAACACCTAATGGGTGCTGGTTTTCAGGAACGACCTGCTGATGTCACCGTGCTGCAGAACATCCGGACACTGCCTTTAAGTAGTGGGAGAAAACTTTATTCCCATAGGCCATGGTGATCACAGACCCGAGCAAAACCATCCTTAAACCAGGCAAAAGCTTTAGATTGAGAAGAACATCCAAAAAGCGCAAAGGAAGGTTCTTGGCTCTGACCAGCATACTCTTAGGTGATAGATGAAGCCTCTTGGATGCAGATGCTGGGATCATTGCTCTGGATTTCCTGTAGAAGGTCAACGCTCTGCTTTCTCATTGACAGGGGAGAATCATTGTCATCATTGTGCCACCATTAGGAAAATGAAGCCTGGAAAAGCTAAATGGGTAGATAGAATGTTATTCCACATCAAGATGACAACTCTAATTCTGTTTAGAATCAGTCTCCATATTATAGAGGGAACGCTTTGATGATGTTCTTACCACTCACCAGATACTCTATTCATCCTGCAAAGTAGATGTTGCTGTCCCTATTTTACAGATGAGAAAATTGAGATCCAGAGGGATTAAGTAATGGAATTAAAAGCAAGGCTGAAATTGAGGATTCTTGCGTGTCCCCCCATTCCACTTTTCTTTCCAAGGATTTGCAAAAAGTACACAAAGCGTACTACTGGGTATAAGAAAACCACATTATTTTTTTCCCTCAAATCCAACATCTAGCACCTATGCTACTAGTGTATTATCTCCACCAACTGGATACTGTCTGCTAGTTCTAAATGAAAAATAAGCTACCCATAGCTAATTTAAAATGAAAAAATAAGCTACCTATTGCTTTGGAGAACACTTAGCTTTTAAAGGCACCTTGAAGGTTTCTTTCCAACAGAAATCATGGATTCAAAGTCAGTCCCAGTATTTTACTAATGGAAAGTTTTGTGGTTGAATGAGCTAGTGATTTCTGTTTATTGCTACCCTATATTCCTTTCAAAGAACCTCTTGAACTTTAGCTGAGAATCATTTTCTCAAGCCATGTTATTTTTCATACATGCCATCTATTTTTGTTAGTGGAAATGTTTGCCATTTCTCCTAAGAGACTTAACTATAAATTATACTTCAGAGAACTTCTAAGTAAATATGTTCATGCCTCAGCACCTTAATGTCTTAATTAGCTATTAAGGGTGTCGATAAATTAGACCTGTCAAAATAATGACCTCCTTGACTAGGATTTTACTGCCACTTCCCCCTGATGGGGTTACTTGAAATACATTTTACCCACAGTAACTGTTTGAAAAAGCAAGGTTGTTGAGGTCTGCATTTCAAAAGAGAAGCTCTGGAAGAATTTACTTTAAATCTTTTCAGGCCAGAGTACCTGGGTGATTATAAGCACAGGTAGTTCCTAATATACAAACATCTTGATTACATTTATGTCTGGCAGAGCAGTTTATTCCCAGGAAGCCTGTTCCATGCTTTTTGCTCCCATTTCAGAAACTCGGGAAAATAATTGGCTTTCTGAAGTAACTTACTTTTATTCCTATAAAAAGCTAACAAGTTATTTCTGCTTTTAACACGCTTGGAGTTATTTCTGCTTTTAACAGCTTTTACCTTGCCCTTCATATCGTGTTCTGGCTAGTTATAAAGAATGACAGGACCCTGTCAGAACATTCCCTTTCTATCTCTCCTCTCTACCATTCCAAAAGATCAAAGCAGTTCCTGCTGCAAGAACAAGGGCTGAGAAAGATCTCAGCGTAAGAAACTCACAGAAAAATGACTGGGAAATGGATAAAATTAAAGGACAATGATTTCTTTTCCAGTCATGTTAAGGCCTGGCCTGGGATTCTAACCATCTGGGAAAATATATTCCATGTTCTATGAGACCAGATTGTAGAATTTGACCTCCTACGTTTTCTGTTAATAAAGTCTATAAGATAACTAAGTAAATGTTAGGATGGTGCAGGATAAAGCTTTCTCAGATCGTTTATGTTTTGTGTTAGAGAGGCTTGCTTATCCCCCTCCATTTTTGTTTGTCTGCTTAATGATTGCAGTTAAAGTCCTCCAAAATCCCTCCAAACTGTAACTTAGAATAATCAGTCTAAAAAATTATCAAGCCACACTGTTCAAGTAGCTCTGGATGTAAATGATGAAGACTCTTTTAATTTTGTAAGAAACTAACAAGTTTCTTGTCTCTCTCTGTGCTTTCGTCTCCTCTACCTGGGCTCCGGGTGGGAGACTTTCAGGTTGAAGTTTACAATCGAGCTGGTTCCAAATTTGGTAGCAGAAACCCAGAAAATCCTGCTGCGTGATTATTGCCATCAAAATCAGCCCCTGTTATTCGGTTTTGCTAAAAATAAGTTACTTTGGCCATTTTTCATAACCTCACTATGAGTGGCATGATTTTCTATCTGGAAGTAAAACACACATGATCAAATAGGAGGTCACTGTCATTGCAGTCTGAATTTCTGAGAGCCTAGAGTTTATTACAACGAAATGGAAAACATTACTCCCTTTGCTCCTGAAAATGGGTCCTACCATTCTAAGACTATGCCGTTGTGAGGTGTCATCAAGCTAGTTCAAGTTCATAGCGACCCTCATCACAACAAAAAGAACCACTGTCCAGTCCTTACGTTTGAGCCTTACGTTTGACCTCATATTCCTTACGTTTGAGCCCATTGTTCCTGCCACTGTGTCAGTCCATCTGACCCTCCACTTTACTAAGCAGGATGCCCTTCGCCAGGGACTGGTTCTTCCTAACGACGTGACTATAATCATACTATAACCTAAGACTATCATCATCACAAATTCAGGGAGTAAATGCTGGTAGGTGACTTCTAGTTCGTATGTCTTTGGGAAAGAATGAAAATTTTACTGTAGGCTTTATTTGAACACTAATCATAAATGATTTTCTGTATCTTGGCATGTAGACTTATTTCATATTAAACTAGAATCTTCAGTTCCAGGTATAAACCTGTTCATTTGCTTAAGAAATATTTACTTATACCTATTCAGTAAGTGTACCTAATATTGGTCTACTATCAATATTTCAGACTGAAATATGACACTGTTTCTGATTGAAATAAAAGATGACCTTGTGTGGTTAAAGTTTATTAGGGGGAATGATCAAACAAACAGAACACACTTTGAAAGTACCTATTTATATGCCAACAGTTGCTGTGCTAATTCTGTTATTCTTTTACGAAACAATAATTTTTAAACCCCAATTTGTTTTATGTGCCCTAAAAACAAGAGAAGGGCATTAATATAGTTCATGCCTTCAACTCCCTGTGGTTCAACATATTTCAGTTGACTGGATTTATAAGCCTTAACTAATAAGTGGAGTATTCGCTAATGCTTCACTAATACTGGAATCTTTGTAAGGCGCTGTAGGATAAGCACTGAACTGCAAGGTTGGTTTGAACAAGGTCAGCAAATCAAACCAGCCACTCCTCTGAAACCCTCTACAGGGTTGCTATGAGTCAGAACTGATGCAACAGCACTTAACAACAACAACAACAATACTAGAAGGTTTGACTCTTTGGAAGCTTTGCTGTCCCATTACATTCCTGTAATGGGACATCTCATTATGCTTCACTTTATTGCACTGTGAAAATGTTGCCGTTTTTACAAATTGAAGGTTTGTGGCAACCCGGTGTGGAACAAGTCAACTGGTACCATTTTCCCAAAAGCATGTATGTGCTCACTTCATGGCTCTGTGTTACATTTGGTAAACTTTCAGTCTTTCAGACTTTTCATAATGCTATTGTGTACTTATTAGACTATAACATAGTACAAACACAACTTTTATAGCACTGGAAAACCAACATATTTATGACTTGCTTTATTATGAGCTCTACTTTCTTGCAGGGGTCTGGAGCTGAAACAGCAATCCCTCCGAGATATATCTGTGCCTATATAAATTTTAGGAATCCTAGTGTGGCACTGTGGGTTAATGCGCTGGACTGCGAAGTCATTTGAACTGTAAGGTCGGCAGTGCATGCTCACCAGCCACTCCTTGGAACCCCTATACAGGGTCACTATGAGTCAGAATTGACTCAATGGCACTTAACAACAGCATTATAAATTTTACAATTTTATAAAGTAAAAAGCAATAAGTCATCTATTTAAAAGGCCCAATGTGTGAAGGAATTAAAGGGTTTTGATAGTGGCAGGTAGGTGTTTCTCACAGTGAGAGGCACAGTTGGTATTCTTTGCATCTGTTCTGGCATGGACCCCATTTCTGCCCCTTACTAACTGCCCTCTGGTGACACATCATGTAACCTTGCGTGCTGCCTCAGTTTTCCTCATCAATGAAAATGGGAATAATCACACTCAGAGATCTATCCTGGGGATTATGCACAAACTGTACTTAGAAGTATGTGGCGTTGAAATCAGGCCCTCGATATGGTTGAACTTGCTTTCTCGTCTTTCCCCATGTTGTAACCGTTACAGTGATGTCTTTGGAAAAGAGAACTGTCATTCAGAATGACAATGTAAACTGAGAAGTTTCCCCTGAACTGTCCCACGTTTTATGTTAATATCAAATGAACTACTCTAATTGCAGGTTATATCCAGGCTTGTAGAGGACTTATGATCGCTGCTGTCAGCCTGGGCTTTTTCGGTTCCATATTTGCACTGTTTGGAATGAAGTGTACCAAAGTTGGAGGTTCAGATAAAGCCAAAGCTAAAATTGCATGCTTGGCTGGAATTGTTTTCATACTCTCAGGTAAATGGCAAATTTCTTCCAAACAAGGTACTGTATGATATTAATGAACTCACACTTACAATACTATTTTCTTTCTGGTACTTTTATAGGGCTGTGCTCAATGACCGGCTGTTCCCTGTATGCAAACAAAATCACAACGGAATTCTTTGATCCTCTCTATGTTGAGCAAAAGTAAGCGTTTTTCTCAGTATGTTTTCAACTCATAGGAAATGTATATACATTAATATTCTAAATTAAGTTACATGAATTTCCTACATGGCGTGTGAAATATTCTGGTATTTAATGACAGCATTCAAGACTTAAAATATTGTGCAATATGGATAGAAAAATTAAAACCAAACCTACTGCGGTCAAGTCGACTCTTACCATAGTGACCTTATTTATAGGAGGAAGTAGCACTGCCCCTATAGAGTTTCCAAGGCTCTAATCTTTCCAGAGGAGTTCTGGTATGACACTGTTGGATAAGCTGGACTGTTGACCACAAGGTTGGCAGTTCAAATCCACTAGAAGCTCCTTAGAGCTCACAGGGTCGCCATGAGTCAGAACTGATGCAATGGCACTTGACAACGATCGCAACAATCTTTACAGAAATAGTCTGCCACATTTTTATCCCAAGGAGAAACTGGTGGGTTCAAACTGCCGGTCTTTCGGCTTGCAGCCAAGTGCTTCAAGTGCTGCGCCACCACGGCTCATTTACATTGCCAAAAGATGCACTTAAATATGTCATTCATATTATATACTGTCTTTTTTTTTTTATTTCTTTCTTTTTTTATTGACATATAACCACTTGCTATATTATTCACCCATTCAAAGTGTATTATCTACTGGTTTTTTAGTCAATTGATAAAGTCAAGATTAGAGCATTTTTCATCATGTTAGAAAGAAAAGCCCCTACCCTGTAGCTGTAACCTGCTCCAATACTTCCATCCCCAGCCTTAAGCAACCACTCAATTGACTTTTGGTCTCCATACAGAGAGTACCCTGTCCTGGACATATCCTATGGATGGTATCATACAGTATGTGGACTTTATGATGGGCTTCTTTCACTTAGCATGATATTTTCAATGTTCATTCATGTCATGTCATGTATCAATTCTTAATTGCCTTTTTATGACTAAATAATATGCCATCGTGTGGCTGTATCACATTTTGTTTATCTGTTCATCATTGATGAACATTTGGGTTGTTTCCACTGTTCGTGTTACATAATGTCTTGACTCTAAATAGCTCAAGGCATGGGATGTGTGACTATAAACTTTATCTACTGAACATCTAAAATTCAAGTCAAGAAGAGGAAAAGGGGATGGGATGGGAGAATAGAAAACTAAAAGTTCGGCTTCATTGTTGACCATCCAAAATGGTGTTCCAGATTCCAGTCCCTGGCCAGATTTCTTAATAAACCTTTTATATTTTCTCTAGTAGTTACTTCCTTAAAAAGCTCTACAACCTTCCTTTGACAAAACTTTGTATAAAAACTGCTGTAAGAGTATGGCATAGATACCCAATATGACTTTCTCAGTTACACATGACTGCTTTATCATTGACAGATCCGTTTGTCTGGTTTTTAAACTACGGGCTATTGCTTTCTGTAGTTTCTCTAGGCTTATTTCTTTGGATTGGAAAACCCAAGGGAAACCAAATCAGGAATAATAATATTCATATAAAATATTTTTTCTTATATGAGAACACACCCATGTGTTGTTATTGCTACTGTTGTTGGGTGCCATTGAGTTGGTTCTGACTCATGGTAACCTATTCACAACAGAACAAAACACTACCCAGTCTTGCACCATACTCACAGTTGTTATATTTGAGCCCTTTGTTGCTGCCACTGTGTTAATCCATCTCCTTGGGGCTCTTCCTCTTTTTCATTGACCCTTTGCCAAGTATGATGTCCTTCTCAAGGGAATAGCCCATCCTGACAACATGTCTAAAGCATGAGAGATAAAGTCTCACTATCCTTGTTTCTAAAATCTTTACGGGAGTAGAAAGCCTCATCTTTCTCCCGTGGAGCAGCTGGTAGTTTTGAACCGCTGACCTTAAGGTTCGCAGCCTGATTCGTAACCACTATGTTACACCCTCGGAAACCCTGTACAGGGTTGCTATGGGTCGGAACCGACTCGACGGCACTTAACAACAACAACATTCTTGTTTCTAAGGAGCATCCTACCTCTACTTCTTCCAAGACAGATTTGTTTGTTCTTCTGGCAGTCCATGGTAATTTCAGTCGTCTTCACTAACACCATGATTCAAATGCATTGATTCTTCCATAGTTTTCCTCATTCATTGTCCAACTTTCACATGCATATGAGGCGATTGAAAATGTCATAGCTTGGGTCAGGTGCACCTTAGTCTTCAAACTGCCATTGTTGCTCTTGAACACTTTAAAGAGGTCTTTTGCAGCAGATTTGCCTAATGTAATATGTCCTTTTACTTCTTGAGTGATGCTTCCTTGAGTATTGATTGTGGATCCAAAAAATGAAGTCTTTGACAACTTCAATCTTTTCTCCATTTATCATCTATTGGTTCAGTGGTGAGGATTTTTGTTTCTTTACATTGAGGTGCAATCCATACCGAAGGCTGTGGTCTATGGTCTTCATCAGTATTTTCAGTCCTCTTCACTTCCTGCAAGAAAGATCGTATCATCTGCATATCACAGGTTATTGAATCTTCCTCCAATCCTGATGCCACGTTCTTCTTCATATAATCCAGCTTCTCTGATTATTTGATCAGCATACAGATTGATTAAGTATGGTGAAAGAATACAACCCTGGCACACACCTTTCCTGACTTTAAACCATTCAGTATCCCCTTGTTCTGTTCAAGCAACTGTCTCTTAATCTATATATAGGTTGCTCATGAGTGCAATTAAGTGGTCTGGGGTCCCCATTCTTCTCAATGTTATACAAAGTTCCTTATGATCCACACAGTAGAATGCCTTTGCACAGTCAACAATGCACAAGTAAATATCTTTCTGATATTCTCTGTTTTTGTCCAAGATCCATCTAACATCAGCAATCATATCCCTAGTTCCACTTGCTCTTCAGAATCTAGCTTGCATTTTTGGCAGCTCCCTGTTGCTGTACTGCTGCAAAATTTTACTTTGTAAAATTATCTTCAGCAAAATTTTACTTTGTGATATTAATGATATTGTTTGATGATTTTTACATCCCATTTGGTTACCTTTCTTTGGAATGGGCACAAGATGGATCTCTTTAATTGGTTGGCCAAGTTGCCATCTTCCATATTTCTTGGCCTAGTGGAATGAGTGCCTCCAGTGCTGTATCAGTTTGTTGAAACATTTCAGTTTGTGTTCTGTCAATTCCTGGAGTGGCGTTTTTCACCAAAGCCTTCAGCCCAGCCTGGACTTCTTTCAGTATCCTCAGTACTTGATCATATGCTGTCTCCTAAAATGGTTTAGCATCGACTGATTCATTTTAATACAGTGACTTTGTGTTACACAATATTTCTTTCATCTTCATTTGCTGCTTTCTGCCTCATTCAATATTTTGTCCCTTGTTGTTGTTGTTAAGTGCTGTCTAGTCAGTTCTGACTCATAGCGACCCTGTATATGTTTTCTGAGGAGCTGCTGGTGAGCTTGAGCCGCTGACCTTGTGGTTCAAACCAACTGTGCATTAACCCACAGCATCACACCAGGACTCCATTTTGTCCCTAGAATCTTCAAGTATTTCAAGACAAGACTTGAATTTTCTTCAGTTCTTTCAGCCTAAGAAATGCTGTATGGGTTCTTCCCTTACACATTTGTAGAAAACCACATGGATATATGTGTGTAATGCTATCAGTTAATCTAATCATTCTTTTTCAGATTTCAAATCATATATTATAGAATTTAAAAAAAAAAACTAATTCCTAAAATAATTGGTCAAGTGTGCACGACTTCTCTCTGGTAGATTTAGAAATCCTAATTCTCCATTTCTGTCTTTGGGATATGTTATGTGTAATTGATCAGTGTTCATGGAATATAAAACACATGGATCACCATGTAGCTAAATCAACTCAATAGCAACAGTGTGTGTTCTTAATATATATATATTTATATATCATGAAAATAATAGTTAACGTATATTAAGGTACTAACACTACCCTCAGAGCATTATAAATATTATTTTTATTTAATTCTTACACACTTTTGTAAAGATAAGGAAAAAAGCCAAAGGAACAACAAACCCGATAGGCTGACTAGACTTTGATTCAATCCAGGTGCTCAAGTGTTAAGAGTCCTTGCTGGAGAATGAATGCATGGGTTATAGTATTCTAATTCATCATTCTTGTGACAGTTTGCTGCATATTCTGTTCATCAAAGGGATTTCTTTTGAGCATTTAAAAAATAACTGTTATTTAGAAAGTTTACTAAACTGGCTACAAAATAGCTGTCTTGTGGCCCAATCTAACTTTTGCTTTCTTGCCTATGTTAAAAAAGTGTGTCCTGATTTATACATTTTCTCTTTATTTAATGTTGCTAATGAAATTTGAACAGGTGTACATGACACCAAATGCTGAGATGAAAACTGAGACTGTGTTTTCTGAGGATTAGCGATGAGCATCCAGATATTTAAATGAAACTTGCATTTTTATTTCACCATTAGGGAACTTAAGTGCAAAACAAAACCATATTATTGATGTTGCTAACTTGGGGGATGATTTTTTCTATGTCCGTATTTCTATTTTTCTGACAGTTATTAAAGATGTCTTTGTCAGGATCTTGACAATTGTCTGAATCTTCCCTCCGAAGGTCACAGTGTGTTCGGATGTGCACCGTCACTTAATCGGTCCTTTGTGTGGGTTTCTTCCTTTGCTGTTACGTACTCAGTCGCCTCATCGGAGTTTCGTACTCCTGTTTCTGATTTTGATGAAACTCACTTCAGTTATTGTGTACTGTGTACTATGGTAGACTTTTTTCTTTTTTCCAAATTCTTAGTGTTACATCATTACCCTCCTCATCTTTCTCAGTGTCTACTATGTCTCTTTGTGTCTGTTTTCATCTGTAGCAGGGATAATAAGAGATAATAACAGTACCCATTGCATGGAATTGCAGTGAGGATTTATACAAATGTGTTGTTGTTGTTAAGTACTGTTGGGTTGGTTCAAACTTATAGCGACTCTGTATAGAGTTTTCCAAGGAGTGACTGATGGGTTTGAACTACCAACCT